GTTCCACTCCTATAGCCCTTTTGGAAGCTCTGTGACCTCCTCTCTTCACCGAGCCCCATCTACGCATCTATCTTCGGGTCTATCTAGTATAATGCGCGTTCCCGCGTCTGTTCGCGTTTTCATCCCCAGAGGCTTCCGAGCTGCTGTAGACGGAGCATTTTCCCGTTTAAACTTCTTTGTAAGGTGAGCCCTCTACTGTAGCCTAAAAGGCTTGTAAGACGGCGCTGCCCGGAGCTTCACTTAGTGATTGTTACAAAAGATCATTAAAATCTTTCATCATTCCCCCTACAGAGGCAGAGCTGCCTCAAACTGATTGTCAAACTGCAGTGGGAAGGCCAGGGAGGGTTGAGGGGCAGGAGGGAGGGGAGTAAGAGATCAACCGAAGGAGTTGTATGCATGCATATAAGCATAACTAATGGACATAAGACACTGGGGGGTAAGGGAGGGCAGGGGATTGTCAAGGGCGGGGGGGGGAGGGGGGAGGACACATACGTAATACCCTTGGTAATACTTTTAGCAAAAAAAAAAATTAAAATAAAAAAAATAAAAAAATAAAAATAAAAACCTGTATTTCCTGACATGGAGAAATATTTGCAAATACTACTGACAAAAAATACCATGTAAAACAATAACATATATATATTTGCTTGGAATACTCTGAAGCCAGATCTTCACATGGCTTGATTTTTCTTGGCATTCAACTTCTAGCTTAAATGCCCAAAACATTCTCATGAAGTTCTTGCTTAACTACCCCAAAAGTCAACATGTCATTTCATTTTCCTCTTTGCACATATCATCTAATTATCTTTTCATATATTTATTTACATTTTCTTCACTAGAAGATAAACTAAAGGAAAGCAAAGACTAGACTGTTCATCCCTGTACCCCTAATGCCTGTGTTCTGGTGCAGAGTAGGTATTCAAAAACTATTAGTTTTGATGAATGAATGGATGGATGGTTAGCAACTAATGATTTTTGAGCATTGTTTCCTTAGCAACTGGAGGCCAGACTTCTGCCCATAAAATCACCATACTCAGATCAATCAACAAATATTCAGATTACTACAGATCAGGCTCTGTTCTAAGTGTTTGGAATACAGTACATTTAAGTACAGGGAAACAGGCTACAAGGGCATTATAAAATAAATGATAACTTGAGGGTTATTAAGATTTATAAAGAAGATAAAATAGGACAAGTGAAAAATGGGGAGACAAGGCAAAACAGAACAAGGTGGAAGGCAAGAGACTAAAGGGACAAGAGAGAGATGAATCCAGTTAAGTGACAGCTGCAATAGTCCAGCATGATGTGACAGAAACCACAAACTAGAATGCAGAAAAGAGATCTAGTGGGGAAAAAAATATCGAGTTAATTTCTTTCTTAGATCTTCCATTCATTATCTACTTTATTCCTTTCTTAATTCCATTTTCATTGTTTGATTTATTCAGCTTAATTAATCAGTTCTTTTTTAAAAAAACCTATTATTTAGTGCTTGCTGTACAAGGTGCAGAAACAAACATTAAAAAGATACTGCTTAGACATTATTTACAATAGCCAAGATATGAAAGGAATCCAAATGCCCATCAACAGACAAATGGATAAAGAAGAGTTGGTACATATATACAATGGAATGTTACTTAGCCATAAAAAAAAATTAAATCTTGTCATTTGTGACAACTTGGATAGATCTAGAGCAGTGATGGCGAACCTTTTGAGCTCGGCGTGTCAGCATTTTGAAAAACCCTAACTTAACTCTGGTGCCGTGTCACATATAGAAATTTTTTGATATTTGCAACCATAGTAAAACAAAGACTTATATTTTTGATATTTATTTTATATATTTAAATGCCATTTAACAAAGAAAAATCAACCAAAAAAATGAGTTCGCCTGTCACCTCTGACATGCGTGTCATAGGTTCGCCATCACTGATCTAGAGGGTATTATGTTAAGTGAAATAAGTCAGACAGAGAAAGACAAATACGATATGATTTCACTTATATATAGAATCTAAGAAAACCAAAACACAATAAAACAATAAACAAAACAGAAACAAACTCTAGAACATTCTGATGGTTGCCAAAAGGTGGGTGGGGGAATAGATGAAAAAAATATGGGATTAAGATATATAAATTACCAGTTACAATTACAGTCACAGGGATGTAAAGTACAGTATAGGGAATATCATCAGTAATATTGTAATAACTATGTATGATGCCAGAAGGGTACTAGACTTATCAGGATAATCACTTCGTAAAGTATATAAATCACTTTGTAAGGTATCTAATCACTGTGTTGTATAGCTGAAACTAACGTAATATTGTATGTCAACTGTAATTGAAATTAAATTAATTTATAAAAAGATGATACTGCTCGTGTTAAAGAAGACTAAAATTAACTTCATGTCTTGAGCCTGAGTAACTAAAAATTTAGTAAGGAAATGACATATTAAAATCACTCTGGGCACCAAGAAAGAAAGATGAGCAGGAATGTACAACAAAGTAGAAATGTACAACAGGGCAACTGTCAGTAAAAAATTGGAAATTAAAAGTGAGGTCATGTTAGAAAAGTAGATTTAACAGAAGTGACAGCTTCAAGGTATGAGCAGAAATAAATTCTAAGAGGGAAAAGGGAAAGTACTATCTGTAATAATCATTGAGAACAAGAGCTATAGTGAATCTGATGAGGAGGAAGAATTAATGGCCACCTTCTGGGGGCCACAATAACTCACCAAGTAGATTCCAATAATCTGTACAAGCACTGCCTTCACTTTGGAGAACCTAATCTGCTATAGCTTCCAAATGGCCAAGGGCATGGAGTTCCTTGCTTCCAGAAAATGCATTCATCAGGGCTTGGCTGCTCAGAACATCCTTCTAACTAATGATAACAATGTGAAGACCTGTGACTTTGGTTTGGCCAGAGACATCTACAAAGACCCTGACTATATCTGGAATAGAGATGCAAGACTCTCAAGTGGATGGCGCCTAAAGCCATTTTTTACAAGGCTTATACTACCCAGAGTGATGTGTGGTCGTTTGACATCTTGAAGTGGAAAATATTCTCTCTGGAATGTAGTCATACCCTCTGAATGAACTTGTGTCCACTGGCGGAACAACATCTCAGCCAAGACCCCAGCGCCAGCCAGGTGTGGCCCCACCACCTGAGGCCAGAGGCATGCGAAAGCACAAAAGGCTTGAATCTGAAAGCAGCTCAGCCTCCCCTGCTGAGCATCCAGGGGCCTGAGAAATGGGGGCCTGAGCTGGACTGCAGGTGCCTATCCCCTGGTCTCTCTCCCTGCCCACCCAATCAGGAAGCCTTAAAAGAAGTCAGTCAAGTAAGAAGATCAGAAAACAAAGCTATTGTTGAGGTTTAATCTGAAACCATTCATTCATTTAATCATATCGTAGTAATGCCCACCTCACAAGGTGTTGTGAGAATTAAAGAAGATGAAAAAGGAGACAAAAAAAGAAAGTACTATCAAAAGAGAACTGAGTGGAAATAAATTCTAAGAGAGAAAAAGGAAAGTACAATCAAAATAGAACTATACAAATGGCCAAGAGACAAATGAAAAAATGCTCAAAGTCACTAATCATCAGAGAAATGCAAATTAAAACCACAGTGGGATATCACCTCACACGTGTCAGAATGGCTATCATCAACAAATCAACAAACGACAAGTGCTGGAGAGGATGTGGAGAAAAGAGAACACTAGTTTACTGCTGGTGGGAATGCAGACTGGTGCAGCCACCATGGAAAACAGTATGGAGTTTCCGCAAACAATTAAAAGTGAAACTTCTATTTGACCCAGTGATCCCACTTCTGGAAATATATCCTAAAGACCCCAAAACACCAATCAGAACGAACATATGTACCCCTATGTTCAAAGCAGTGTTATTTGTAATAGCTAAGATTTGGAAACAGCCCAAGTGCCCATCATCAGATGAATAGAAAGCTGTGGGACATTTACATTATGGAATACTATGCAGCTATAAAAAAGAGGGATCTCTTGTCCTTTGGGGCAGCATGGATGGACCTGGAAAATATTATGCTAAGTGAAATAAGCCAAACTGAGAAAGACAAATATCACATAATATCACTTATTTGTGGAATCTAATGAACAAAATAAATTGACCAACAAAATAAGACCCAAAGCAGAGAGGCATGGAACAGACTGACATACCTCAATGTGAGGTTAGGGGGACAAGAAGAGAGAAACCAAAGAACTTATATACTTACTAGAGGCCTGGTGCACGAATTTGTGCACCAGTGGGGTCCCTTGGCCTGGCCTGCAGGATTGGGCCGAAACCGGCTCTCTGACATCCCCCAAGAGGTCCCGGATTACGAGAGGGCGCAAGCCAGGCCAAGGGACCCCACCGGTGCATGATCGGGGCCGGGGAGGGACATGGGAGGTTGGCCAGCCGGGGAGGGATCACAGGAGGGCTCCAGGGCGTGTCTGGCCATCTCGCTCAGTCCCAATCAGCTGGACCCCAGTAGAAAGCTAACCTACCGGTCAGAGCATCTGCCCCCTGGTGGTCAGTGCATGTCATAGCAACTGGTCAACTAGTCGACTGTCTGCCCCCTGGTGGTCAGTGCATGTCATATGAGCAGACACTTAGCATATGAGGCTTTTATTATATAGGATATGCATAGCCCATGGATATGGCCAATAGGGTAATGGAGACCTGGGGCATGGGGGGATGGAGGTTTGGGGAGAGGGAAGTGGGAAATATTTGTAATACTATCAACAATAAAAAATATACTTAAAAAAAGAAAACTATATTAACAAAGGGCTAGGGATTTTTGAAAGTTGCATTTTTTAAATATTTGCTGATGTTTAACTGTTTGGGATTGTAGTAAAAATGAAGCATTCTAAAGACTACCAATCTCAATAAAATGAGATGTGCCTTGAATACAAGTGACTGAATCTTATTTCCACTAGCTATAAATGTTGTACAGATGCATGCAAAAATGCTTCATAAAACAAGATATGAAAGAGTCTATAGGATTTCACCAAGGCCCAAATCCTGCCCACTATTTTTTATATAATTTATATGCTTGAAAAAAATTAAAATAATACTTAAGAACATGTGAAAATTATATGAAACTGAAACTTCAGTGTCCATAAATAAAGTTTTATTGGAATACAGTCACACTCATTCAATTATGTATTGTCTAGAGCTGCATTTGTGCTACATAGCAGAGCTATGTAGTTAGAACAGAGACCATAGGTCTGTAAGCCTATATGGACCTTTACAGGAAAACTTAACTAACTAATGCTAATGATAATAAGAATTAGGCAAGGTCTAATTAGAAATTATTTAAAAATCAAGTAAAATTCAGATTTTGATATTAACCTGGCTCAAAGAGAAATAAAAAGATCTCATGTAAAGAGGCAATTACTCAATAAAAATTTGCATTTTATTCAGATCTCATGTAAAGAGGCAATTACTCAATAAAAATTTGCATTTTATTCAGAGGTTTTTCAAATACTAGGAAAAAAGATATAGCACAAATAAATCTACCTGAATCATCAAGCTTGGCCATTTTATAACATCCAATCTTACTTCTAAAATGAATTTAACTGAATGCATGCAGTCCCTATTTTGGGTATAAATAAGGTATCTCTTATCTTTGATTTCTAAAGATTATTTGCATGAGTAATAAAAATATAATTATGAAATAGGACACCAATGGGTAAAAGATTTTTCATAATACCCACCTTTGGAAGGCCAGGCTTGAATTTGAAGTTTCTGTTTCTCCTAAAGAGACAAATCATAAACAGAAAAAAAAAAACTATTGTAAAGATGAATGATTTCAAGGTCTCTATTGAAACAACAGGTTATATATCCATTTCCATGACACAGATCATTTATATGAAAATGCTGTCTGATTCAACTAAGCAGGCACCTTTAGGAAGGAAGGATAGCAAAAAGACAACAAGGAAAGAGATGCCTGCTCTGTAATATAGGTATAAACAGACTTATGCCTGATAATCAATAACATAATGTTGTATATTTAAAGCTTAAGTTTCATTTTCTTTTGGATGTTAATAGGTCTCTAATTTCTAATGACTACAGAAGTTTTGTTTCTGTCACTTTAAGAGTTTAAATAGATGCTTATATTTTAATGAATTTTTTAAATGTACTTTTCACTAAAACTTACGGTTTTCCACTTTGGGAAATTAAAAATTCTCTTCTCCTTTTTTTTTCTTATTCATAATTCAAAAGCATACTTACATCAAGACCATTATTTTTTATTATGGCCACAGAAGGAAAGATAACACAAGCTAATAATGATGAACGTGGGTTGGGGAGTCATAAAGACCTGGGCTTGAATCTAAGCTCTTTCACCTACTAAGATATGATTTTAACCTCTCAAGCCTTGGTTTCATTACATGGTAATGTAAAATAAGAATGATAATACCACCTACCTCTTAGAGTTATTGTGAGAATTAAATTAGTTAATTCATAATTCTGGATTATAGCAAGATTCACATAAATTGAAATATGACACTGTTAAACAATAACTTAGGGATTAAGGAATCCAATTTAGTCACACCTCCAGCTAGTGGTCCAAAACTATGCTTTGGAAGTATCTGGAATATGTTGATATAGGTAGCTAAAAACTTTTAAGTGGTCTACCATGCATGGTGTATCTATGTCCTCAAACCAACTGGATAAGTGTTATGTATCTATCACTCTATGTGGTACCATTCACCATTTCATAGAGAATTTTCCTGCCCAATCTGTTAGGACTGCCAGAATTGAAGGACAATTGCTGATAAAAACCAGGAATCTTAAAAAGGACTAATAGTGTTTTCTCTCTCTGGATGTAAGGTCCATCAAAGAGCAATAAAGAATCATCTCTATAATGAGTATATATTCAACCATGATTCTTCTGGTGAGATGAAAACAAACAAAAACATACCAGCTTAATAATACATAAGATTGAGAGCTCTAAATGTTGAGTATTTTTTAATCTTGCTTTAACTCAAAATTCTACTCATGAAGTAGTATCTCCATCACTCCCTCTTTTTTCACCCAGGATTTTAAACCTGTCACATAAAGTAATCCACATCACTGATTAATACTAACGTGAGAATTCCATGGGCTCTTTCCAATAGTTTGCTGCTAGCTGAGTTAGCGAATATCCCATCTTTGTCAAGCAAGGAGGTGTTACTTGATAGTCTGCTCTGGTGAATCCCAGTTCTGCCATTCCAGGCAATATCAAATGTATCACTGTAAAAATTAAATATAGTACAATTTGCTTTAGTTAATTAAAACATCTCTAACACTCTAAACTGCTTTAAAAAGTAAAATGAAACTTTAAACATAAAGTTTTAATTTAGACAAAATGCTAAACAAGCAGCAAGTGTTTTTTTTTATCAGAGAGATTATCAATCAATTTAAACTAATCTTTTATTCATTCAAAACAAAAAATTTTCTATGGATTCTAGCATATTTACATGCAAGTGTGCATGTAGATGACATCATACAGCTGTCTTTAAATATATTGTAACCGTTTAACAATCAGTATATAATATAATGTAAAGGCTTTTGTCTTTGTTAGATTTTAGAACTTTCAAATGCTACTGAAGGAATTTCCAATTCTAACAGGCCATCCCATTGTGGAATATTTCATTTCCTCTTGGGAGGTTTCACTATTACACACATGTCCACTAGGGCTGAGCACTATTCTAGGCACTGAAGATATAGGAATGAACAAAACAAATAAAATTATCAGTGATTACAATAAAAAGAGTTAACAGGGGGCTTTCCAGGTAGACAGCAAATTGCATTCATATTTGAATTCCTCCAGAAACCCGTAAAAGCATTAATAACTTTTAAAGGAATAAATATTTAAGAGAATACACTAATACACAACCCTAACACATTTTTGAAATATGGAACAGATGTAGAGAGTAAATAGCTTTTTCAGTAGTAAACAAATTGGTTGTGGGAAAAGTTAAGAAGCATCTCTATTTACTCTGCAGGACTCCCCAAAGGCTCTGAAACTGGAAGTAGCAAGTACCTTTGGAAGTGGTGAAAATGTAGGTTAAAAATGGGAGCCCTAGTTGAAAGTCAGGTTAAGAAGCACTTAAAAGTCCATGAAACCGGATGACCATCCCTCACTTACATAAGCAAGAGGATAAAAGAGAAAACCATGCACAATGGAGGATGAGTATGTTATATAGAAGTCAAAGGAAATACTGAAAACAGAGGTCTCAGTTTGTTACCCAGCTGGCTCCAGAATGCTGGCATCTGTGCTTCAGTTGACCCCTCAACAACACAAATTTGAACTGCACAGGTCCATACATTTTTTCAATAAATACTGTTAATGTATTTTTTTCTTAATAACATTTTTAAATAACATTATTTTTCTCTAGCTTACTTTCTTGTAAGAATAGTCATAATACATGTAACATATAAAAGCTGTGTTAATAGACTATTTATGTTAGCAGTAGTTAAGTTTTTAGAAAGTCAAAAGTTATATGTGTAACTTTTAGTGCACAGGAGGGTCTGTGCCCCTAACCCCTGTGTTGTTCAAAGGTCAACTGTATAGTCTCCAGGCAGAAAATTAGAATAAACTTTTGTGTGAAATCTGACTATGCCAAGAGGAAAGACCCAAAGATACTGGTAAGTTCCAGAGACTACTCAAAGATTCCAATTAGCTTTTCAGTATCTCAATCCTAAATATGAACAGTTGACCAAGGCTCACTAGACATCTGAAGGAAGTCCCTAGCATGAAACATAAAGATCAAAACAATCATGACACAAATAGCTTGAAGGAAAAAGACTAGACAGGGAAAATAATTTTTAAAGCTATCATTATTATCTTTAGAGAGTTGAGAGAAAATATTCCATGTATAAAATAAGAACAAGATGCTATAAAAAGTAAGCATAGAAAAGATAAAATTAGTAACAAAAAAATGTATGAAAATTAAAATATGACACTAATGAAAATGCAGTACTTTCACACATTCAAAAATATTTATTGAGCACCAACTAGTGTCAATTATTTTTCCAGCAGTGGGCATATACCAATTAACATACTAAAAGTTCTACCCTCATGAGGATTAAATTTAGGTGGAAAAAGACAAATAATAAACACATGACAAAATATATTGTATGCCGCATAACAAGCACTAAGGAGAAATTTTAACAGAAAAGAAGTATTTTTTTAAAATGTGAGAATGTTAGTCTTTTTAATAAGGTAGTTAGCATCAATAAGGTTCCATTTACACAGAGATGTAAACGAGATTTTTTTAAAAAAATCAAGCAGTTATCTGGGAGAAGAGTAGTCCATGTAGAGAGAAGAAAAAACACAAAAGTTCCAGAGGCAGAAATGTTGCTAATGAGTCTGAGATATATTAAGAAGTCAGTCAGATCATTTATTTTAACCTATAAGCTTAATCAGGTCAGTGTTTTGTTCAAAATCATCCTGTGTCAGACAATAGGGTGCTGAAGCCCTGGGGTGAGGTAGGGAGTTGGGAGGAGGAGGGCTGGAGGGGAGTCAATGGGGGGGAAAGGGGACATATGTAATACTTTCAACAATAAAGAATTATTTTTAAAAAAATCATCCTGTGTTTTTCTCATTCCCATTAAAAGCCAAAAATTCTTATCCTATATAATAAAAGAGAAACATGATTGACTGTTCCTCCGCTACACTCACCAGCCAATCACGAGTGAGTATGCAAATTAACCCAACAAAGATGGTGGGTTAATTTGCATACACAGGTGCTGGCGGAGAGTGGAGCGGCTTGGGGAACTTGGCTCCTCAAGCTGCCAGATGGAGAGCATAGAGGGAGACCTGGAGGCTTGGAGGACTTGGCAGAGTGGGAGGCCATGGGACGGAGACAGAGCAGGAAGGAAAAAACAAGAGCACGGGGAGCATCAGGAATTCTGGGAATAGTAGTTCTGGTGGCAGCCCCAGAACTGGAAGTGGAAGCCCAGAGTGCGCGGAGCACCAGGAATGCTGGGATTGTAGTTCGGTGGCAGATGGAACTCCTAGACCAGTGATGGCGAACCTTTTGAGCTCAGCGTGTCAACATTTTGAAAAACCCTAACCTAACTCTGGTGCCGTGTCATATATAGAAATTTTTTGATATTTGCAACCATAGTATAAAAAAGATTTATATTTTTGATATTTATTTTATATAAATGCCATTTAACAAAGAAAAGTCAACCAAAAAAATGAGTTCGCGTGTCACCTCTGACACAGGTGTCATAGGTTCACCATCACTGTCCTAGACACTAGAGCAGTGGTTCTCAACCTTGGCTGCATATTAGAATCACCTGGGAATCTTTTTAAAATCGTGATTTCTGGGCCTCATCCTCCGGAAATTCTGTTTGTTTGTTACTAATGTTGTGGCCCCACCCCATAACAAAGAAACAATTTCTGGAGGATGCGGCCCAGAAATCAGGATTTTAAAAAGATTCCCAGGTGATTCTAATGTGCAGCCAAGGTTTAGAACCACTGCACTAGAGCAAAGTGAGCCTGGAGCAAGTTACTGTGGCGGTGGGGGATGCAGGGAAACCAAAGGTGAGAGACATAAGTAAAATCAGAGTGTCTAGGAAAAATTAAAGGGAAGATATCCTAAAACTTCCAGGAAATCTCCAATGAAGCAAAGAAAAAGAAAAATGCCTCTATTATTCTGTGAGCAACAAACCAAACTGAGTTGGGGTCTCAGACAATTCGCTCATATGATTGCAAAGACAGACAGAAACTCCCAGATTGGAGAGGGCTCCCAAATTGGAGAGGGTGCAGGTTGGGCTAAGGGACCCCCACACCCATCAGTGCATGAATGTCGTGCACCGGGCCTCTAGTATAATATAAAAGGTATATGTAACATGGCATCCTCCTCCAATTTTATCTCCTATCACCCTTCCCCAGCTTACTCTATCTCAGCCTTGCTGATAATACTCCCCAAATTGATCTACAGATTCAACATAACCTTATCAAAACCCCAGCTGCCTTTTTTTAACAAACTGACGAGCTGATCCTAAAATGCATATGGAAATGAAAAGAACCCAAAATAGCCAAAATCATGTTTACAAAATACACCAAAGCTGGAAGAATTATAGTTCCTGATGTGTAAGCACACACAAAGCTGCACTAATCAAGATAACATGGTACTGGCATAAGGTCAGTGGAATAGAATTGAGAACCCAGAAATAAATGCTATCAGTTATAGTCAACTGAGTTTTGAAAAGGTGTCAATAATTCAATGGGGGAAGAACAGTATTTTCTTTTTTTAAATATGTTTTTATTTATTTGAGAGAGAGAGAGAGAGAGAGAGAGAGAGAGAGAGAGAGAGAGAGGAAGGAAGAGAGAGAGAGGAAGAAAGAGAGAGAGAGAGAGATGATGAAAATCATCGATTGGCTGCCTCCTGCATGACCCCTACTAGAGATCAAACCCACAACCCGGGCATATGCACTGACCAGGAATTGAACCATGGATCTTCTGGTTCATTGGTCAATGCACAACTACTGAACCACACCAGCCAGGCAAGAACAGTATTTTCAACAAGTGGTGTTGAGATAACTGGATCTCCACAGGCAAAAGAATGAAGTTGGACTTCTATCTTATAACAGATACAAAAAATAAACTCAAAATGGATCGTACATCTAAATTTAAGAGTTACAATTATAAAATTCTTAGGAAAAAATATAACCCTTGTGACATGGGCTTAGGTAATAATTTCTTAAATATGACAAAAAAGGATAGCCAAAAAAACAGATAAATTAGACTTCATCAAAATAAAAAACTTTTCCACTTCAAAACACTACCATAAAAAAGTGAAAGGACAATTAACTCTCAGACTGAGAGAAAATACTTTCAAATCATATACCTAATAAGGGAACTATGTCTGGAATATATAAATATATCACTCAAAAATACTAAGAGAACCTTATTTAAAAATAGGAAAATTACGCAGAAATAAAAGGAATGAACTATCTGACAGACTAAGCACTGTGTTTAGAGAAAAAAGTTAACCTCAAAAAATTATTGAGGGTTAGGATATATAACCCCAAAATATGCTACTTTGGCATAAGGATTATTTTTAGCTGAAAGGAACTGAGAATCAACACATAACAGGAAGAGTTAGTTCTCTGCCCTCAAAAGCAAGGCATAAATTCCCCTTTGTGAAGGTGTCCCTCTCTCCCTTACAAGGAAAAGTAGAGCAACTCTTCTCATCAGAGACATAGAACAGACACTGAGATGAATTTGCATTAAC